AGAGAGGGAGACACAGGATCCGAAGCAGGCTCCAGGCTCCGAGCTGTCAGCACAGAGCGCGACGCAGGGCTCGAATCCACCCACCGCGAGATCATGACCTGAGCCGAAGTTGGACGCGTAACCGACTGAGCCACCCAGGCACCCCAATTAAGCATTTTTGATATATTCTCTCTTATGTAACATGTATGTGTATCTTGCTCGCTCTCACATCCACAAACATACACTTGAACCCGCTAAAGCTTTTTCACAAGGCTGGGAAGTAGTTTCTGACATGACTCCCATTTTCAAGATGGGAAAACAGAGGCCCAAAGAACTTAAGCAACTTGCCCAAGGTACCATTCGGTGACAGCAGAGTTTGTTATTTTTTAATTTTGTCTTTCAACTTTGAGGGTATGTTGTGATTCATCTGTGGCTGTCCTAAGCCACCTGACCAGAGTCCAGCTCTTCCCCACAGTGCTCTTCCACGGGTAAAACCAAGGCTGGGTAGGTGAGGGCTGTCCCTGACGACTCCCCTCCGCCCAGCTCCCGCTCCTCCCCCGCCCCCTCCCAGTGGCGGTCGAGATCAGTTACAGTGTTCCCAAGGCTGTGCAGTGGAGGGGGGCTCCAAAAAACAGACAGGCTCATGCTATGGCTATTAAAATAAGAGAAGCAGGTAACTGTGGTTAAAGCACAGGCCCTGAGTGTAAATCCTGCCTTTACCATTGTAGGCTGGGTGATCCCAGCAAGTCTTCTCATCTTTAAAGGCCACAGTTTCCTCATCTGTAAAACGGGCATAATAGTGTAGGGTTGCTCTGAAGGCTGAAGATTAAGTAAGGTAATATATTTGTGAAGCATTTAGAACGATACCTGGTGAGAGCAAGTCCTCAATCACTGATGCCTGTTGTTTACATAATCATTATCAAGAGTTGCGACAGTCACTGCACTAGCAATGGTTGCTGCGGCCGAATGGGGAACCCCTGGGGAACCCCCGACACCCTGCACCAAGAACGGAGTTGGTGTTTTGCAAGTATTGTCTTGCAGGTTCCTTAAGATCTCAAATTAATACTATTTTTGTTCCCGATGTAGAAGAAGGGTGGAGAGTGGTTCAGAGGGTGAAGTGATTTGCCCAAGGTCCCAGAGAAAAAACAGATCGTAACTACTATGGGTTTGATTCTAAGAGGAGGCAGCAGCTTGCGGGACGACGGCATCTGGGGTTCCCGGGCGGACATCGCCCCCTGGTGGTGCTGGCTCCGAGTTGCTCTCTAATGGAGGGCAGGAGTTGGGCGGGGCGTGGAGAAGAAGGGAGGGAGGGGTTTGATGGTGGGGGTTTACAGCAGTTCCTAAATTGCTTCCCTGTCACCTCTGGCTTGTGATTGTCCCAGCCACCCTGGAAGGAGGTAGAATTAGGATATCCGTTGGACAGATAGGGAGCTGAGGCCCAGAGACAGAGGCAAAGGCAAGAGAAATGCACCCAGAAAGAAACAAACAGGACAGGGAAGGAGAGAGGGACACCAAGAAAGGGATGTCAGAGAGAGACCAATAATCAGAAAAAGTCAGAGACACAGACAGCAACAGACTCAGGCCTGAGGCCGAGACGACCACTGGGTGCAGGCGCCCACCTGGGGAAGGGTGTACCCTCGGAAGCAGGTGGTCCTCGTGAGGGCGTGGGGCATTCCCATGGGCACCAGAGCCAGGAGCCGTTGCGCCTCATGCAAAACTGCGTCCGTGTAGGGGAGGCGGGCTCGGTCCCCCAGGCCTGGCGCCCGGCCAGCCCCCAGCTCCCGGGTCAGCTCCTCCCGGACTCGCTCTGCACCGAGGAAGAGGAAGGCTGGAGTCAGAGGTGGGGTGGGGCCCCGCGATCCTACCCTTGGAAGCCCCATCTTCTCAAAGTGGCGGTGGTTGGGGTGAGGCTGGTGGGCAGGGAGGAGGTTCCCAGATCGCACTGAGCCAGAGTCCCCATGACCTATGTGCTGAGCACAGGGTCTCTCCTCTCAATCCCCACAGCAATGCTGCGAGGTGGGATACCATTATCCATCCGCATTTCCCAGATGAGAAAACTGAGGCCCAGATTGCTAAAGTCACAGCGGACTCCATTCCGCTGAGGCCACCTTCCAGGTCAGCCCACCCCACTGGCTTGAGGGCATTTGATGCAGCTGCCTGACTCCAAAATGCTGGGCTTTCCCAGAGCTCACACCCCCAGCTCTGCCTCTCAGCCAGTCATCTTTTGCTTCTTGCTTGTGCCCTAATGACCTTAGTTTTTGTTTTAAGTAATTTCTACACCCAACATGGGGCTCAAACTCACTACCCTGAGATCAAGACCTGACTTGAGACCAAGAGTTGGTTGTTTAATCGACTGAGCCACCCAGGCGCCCCTCCCTTCCCCTTTTTAAGTGAACTCTATGCCCAACATGCTACTTGAACTCAGGACCCTGAGATCAAGGATCCTGTTAAGTCCTGACCCGGATGTCTTGTGGCCTCGTGGATGCCTCCCCCCAGGTGGCCCCAGGTCCCTTACACTTGTCCTAAACTGGCCTCAGCATCTCCCCTGAAACAGCTCCTCGTTCCTTCTGTCCCCATCTCAGGGTGCCTCCATGGCCCTCTGGTCCCGAAATCCCCTGGGCCTCCCACGTCATTCTCTACCTGCTCACCCAGCCCCTCTTCTCCCCCACAGCTTGGCCCAGGCGTGTCCTCTCCTGCCCAGGTCCCTATCCCATCCTCTTCCCTGGGCTCCCGGCATCTTCTTTCACCCGGAAAGATTTTTTGTAAAAGGCTAATTGAACCCTGCCCTCCTCTGCTCAGCATCCTTCTGTGGTTCCCCATTGCTCAGGGTCAGGCATACAAGGCTCCCTGCCTCATCTCTCATTTCACTACGCTTCACACATCAACCTGCAGCCCCCACCGCCCCCAAGTTCTCACTCGTCAGACACCCCCAATGCCGGGTTCATTCTCGCCACCAGGCTCCAGCTCGTTCTCCTGAACATTCTTCCTCTTGAGCCCTCACTTCCGTTCCCAGGACTGGCTGGTCCAAAGGCTCCTACCTTGGACCTGAGGGTATTTCAGCAGAAGCAAGAGGGCGTAGCGGACCGTGGTGCTGACCGTGACTGTCCCGGCAAACAGCAGATAAATGACTGTCATCAACAAGTTCTTGTCAGTCCATTCTGTGTTTGGGTCTTGCTCTTCCTGGAAGAAACCAGGCAGAAGGGCTCAGAGAACTCAGGCTGTGGGGAGCAGAGGCCCAGCATAGTCACGCCTGGGGCTGCAACACGGCAAGTTGAAGCTTTGTGGGGGCGGGTGGGGGTTGTATAAATGTTTGGGCAAGTTGGGAAGTGGACTCTTGATATTAATTTTCTTTGGTTGGAATGTTTTTGAAAATGAAAGAGCATGGCCACTATAAAAAACAAACAAACAGAAAATGGCACGTGGTGAGGATGTGGAGAAACCGGAACCCTGTCACCCTCAGTGGGGACGTCAGATGGCGCAGCTATGGGCAATGGCATGAGGTTCCTTAAACAATTAAAATAGAAGGGGCGCTTGGGTGGCTCAGTCTGTTGAGTGCCCAACTTTGGCTCAGGTCACGATCTCACAGTTGGTGAGGTTCAAGCCCCGCGTCAGACTTGGTGCAGACAGCTAGGAGCCCGGAGCCTGCTTCGGATTCTGTGTCTCCTTCTCTCTTTCCCCTTCCCCCTCTTGTGCTCCTCCCCCCAAATAAATAAACATTAAAAAAATTTCTTTTTAATGAAAATAGAATTATGGTATGATCTAGCATTTCCACTTCTGGGCAGGGAACCCAACAAATGGAAAGCAAGATCTTGAAGAGGTATTTGTTCATAGCAACGTTATTCATAACAGACCAAAGGAGGAAGCAGCTCAAGTGTCCACTGACAGATGAATGGATGAGCCCAGTGTGGTCTATCCATGCGGTGGAATAAGGACTCAGCCTTAAAAAGGCTTAAAAAGGAAGGAAATGCTGTTACAGGCTACAACATGGATGAACCTTGAGGATATCACGCTAAGTGAGATAAGCCAATCGCAAAAGGACAAACCACTTACATGAGGTCCCTAGAATATGCAAACTCATAGAGACAGAACGTAGAAAGGTGGTTGCTGGGGGCTGGGAGGGGGCTGGGGAGTCCTTAACCAAGTAGAGAGTTTCTGTTTGATAAGATGAAAAAAAAGTTCTGGAGATTTTCTGCACGACAATGTGGATATATTAAGACTACTGGACTTGACACTTAAAAATGGTTGGGGCGCCTGGGTGGCGCAGTCGGTTGAGCGTCCGACTTCAGCCAGGTCACGATCTCGCGGTTCGGGAGTTCGAGCCCCGCGTCAGGCTCTGGGCTGATGGCTCAGAGCCTGGAGCCTGTTTCCGATTCTGTGTCTCCCTCTCTCTCTGCCCCTCCCCCGTTCATGCTCTGTCTCTCTCTGTCACAAAAATAAATAAACGTTGAAAAAAAAAAATTTTAAAAATGGTCAAGGTAGGGGGCACCTGGCTGGTGGTGGGAGGAGCATGTGATTCTTGATCCAGAGGTTGTAAATTCGAGCCCTACGTTAGATGTAGAGATTATTTAAAAATAAAATCTTTTTTTTAATGTTTACTTATTTATTTTGAGAGAGAGAGAGAGAGGGAGAGTGAGTGCGTGGGGCACAGGGAGAGAGAGAATCCCAAGCAGGCTCCACACTGTGAGTGCAGAGCCTGACGTGGGGCTTGATTCCATGACCCTGAGATCATGACCTGAGCCGAAATCAAGAGTTGGATGCTTAACCAACTGAGCCATCCAGGCGCCTCTAAAAATAAAAAT